TATTAAGTTGAAGGTTTTGAAACACTGAGCTATTTATCTGCACTTCAGCAATGCTCTCACCACTTCTAACACCCAAATTGACAATGTTTGATAATTTCTGGAATTCATCAACAAGTGGACCCTGTTCACTGGCAGACAGTTTCTTGTCATGTTGCAAAAGAAATTGAAGTTCCTTTTCATAAAGGATGTCAATATTTTCTGAAAGTGCAGACACACAATCCATTTCTTTGTTGTACATACATAAAAGGCTTCTCAGGTATGTATTGTCGACTGATGACATTATACAATCCATCATGGTTTTGGCCTTTTGTATATGTATTAAAGCAACTTCTTGTTGTAACTGATGTATTTCTGAGTCGCGACGAACTTCAAAGGAGGGTGTTGAGCTGCTACTTTGACAGGAAACTGACCGACGAATGTTCCTGTATTCACCTCTACGATGGTCAACTTTTACTGAGGAAAATGCTTCTTTCACAGCTCTTGTCGTCAGACGCTTGTTGCCCGTCTCAAGAGCTTCCATTACATCTACACGACTTGTTGTTTTGCCAGGACTTTCCACAAACTTTTCTGTTAAGACGGTATGCAAATTCTTCCTTCTTTTTCTACAACAATCGCTGTTTAGGTTGGAACGCTTTGCAGAAGGTTCAATCTTTTAAGGACTGATTTGGTGTTTCTTGTTCTTTTTGGGTGTGCTAGAGGCACAAGGCATCAATGCTTCAGGCTCGTTATCTTCTGTTGGGGAATCTGTGAAAAAATAACATCAATGATGTTACATCATTTCCAGTAATATTACAGGGTGGGGTAAGTACCCCCCCCCCCCCATGTAAAATGACATACCTGGTTCTTTGTCGTCACATATGATGAATGTGTTAACAAAAGTTATGTTTTTCTGCTTACTTGTGCAGCTTTGAATATTAGTCGATGAAACTGGTGATTTTAAGTCAAATGGCACTTTTGTGGCAGAAATTCATCAAACATTGTTAAATTATTTGTATAGTGTATACATACACCTTCTGACAAAGGAGGAATTTAAGATAAAATGATAAATTTTCTCCATCCATGCAAGGGCATACAGATCTCACTCAGGCAAGTTTCTCATTTGCTGGGCTCATATGAACAAGCCTTTAGTAGGCAACATTTCCATACCCCAGCAACATCCCCCCTGCCCCAGGGTTGTAGACACTATAAAATTATACTGATTAACATATAAAATAGATTGTTTGTCACTTTGTCTAATATTGTTGTTGTGGAAAATTGTGGAACAAAACTCTTAGACTTTATAATAAACTTGCTATGAGCATGCCGTTATATATGTTTTCTTAGGGAGAGTCAAGAAGTCTTCTATATTTAAATAAAGTATTTAAATAATAGTAAAAATAAAACCCCAGTAAAGTAAGAAAACAGAGTAACTAGAAAGGTATTAAATAAAAACTTACCATGGATTGACATGTTTTGAATCGATACGTCCAAAATATCGACTTCTGAACCTTCGGTAGAACTCAAATCAACAGCTGCAACCGCAACTTGGCTCGATGAATGCATATTTTCGTCATGGCCGTCAGCTGGCTCCTCCATTGCAATGAAATAAACGTTTAAACACAAAAATCACGACATAAACAGAAAGATTTTGGTCACAAATATCACTGCACAAAAAATCGGGACAACAAACGACATGGTGATTTTGATATTTAGCGGATTGCAACAAATCGCCAAATTGTATAAGATATCGCTACAAATCTGGCAGAGCTTTCCCCTTCCTTCCTCCCCTTGTGTTGCCCGCGTTTTAATTTTCAGCGGTGGTTTCTCTCATTACAGTCTAGTGCCTCTATCTCTCGCTTCGGCAAATCGCCTGATATCGAAGCTTCGCATTGTTAAAAAGCCAGGAAAGCTCTGTGGAGGAGAGAGTAAACAGTGCATAATTCTTACTGCTGTACCTCTTTGGACTGTTGCATACTGCCATGGAACTTCACCATCACCCATACAAAAGTATGCCTTGAATTTATCTCTACAAGCATATGCTTGCATTGAGGCTCTGCATCACATATTTGGAATATGTTTCAATCCATGAACTTCATGCTGATCAGTTTCTCCTTCATTGTTATTGGTAACCAAATCATTACAATGCAGTTTTTGCAAGTAATTATGCAAAATACAGCATGTTTTAAGCAGCTTTTCACATTTGGAGGGATGTGAATTGATATGCCTTTGAAATATTTGCCATCTCTGAGCCAGAATTGCAAGGCATTTTCAGAAATTCTGCATGCCTTGGATAGTCGATAGTTAAAAATCCGCTTGTCAATGGGTAGGGCTTTTCCTGGATATGGGACGCAATATTAAAGTACTGTTTAATAAACGAGCAGGAGTGTTTTATTAGGTTTAAAGCCACGAGCACGTAGCAGCATGTTATTAATATTTCGTATCTTTTGAACATCTCTAGTCTGTATTCATTTACAAGCATACAGAACCAGAAGAGTGTTAAAAATTCAGTATAATATATAATCATATTTTACAACTGTATGACTGAGTTCAAAATGTAAACAAAGCGTTTGTTTACATTACGGACTTTACATGGTCTTTAAATAAAAATAAAATCCTGAGCGGGTCCTTTTTTGTGGGCAGGCAAGGATGCTAACCAACTATTTTTTTTATATGGCCATATCAAGATTTTTGTGGCATCTCACTCGATTGAATAATATTTGATGGGTAGCTATCATAGATGGAAAATGTCGAGTGGAAATTTATGTATAGGTTATTTTGAGGCAACATGCGGATTTGTGATTTATTCACCGAGGCGCGCAGCGCCGAGGTGAATAAACACATATCCCCGAGGTGCCTCAAAATAATGTACTTATTTTTCACATTCCGCGTTAATGAGTCAGAAAAGAAATAATTCTTAATGCCATATTGTCTTCGCGATGTTGTTTTTTCTCATTTTTTGTGCTGCAAAGACATTGCAGGTGAATATTAGAGGGGATTATTAATTGCAGGTGAATATTAGAGGGGATTATTAAATGGAAATTGATTAGAGGGGAATATTGAATATATTCCCCGACAAGAACAAAGGAAACCGAGCAGGGTGAAAAATAAATACATTTATTGGACCTACATTACCCATCAAATATTATTCATTTGAATGAGATGCCACAAAAGTCTTGATATTTACCACAGTTTAACCTTGTTGATTTCTGTCACAAAAATATTTCTGTGCCATCAAGATAATTTTTAAATGTCTTGAATGCAAGACTTGAAGCTTCTGTTTAAGTGCCTATCTCATGATTGAGGTTTTTACATATTTACCATATTTCGAACATTTTAGGACAATTTGCTTAATATTCTCATCAGCAAAAATTTAATCTTCCTTATCATTTTAGCTGTTAAGGTAATTCCGCAGTTTTGCATTGCGCACTTTTACTGCGCACATCGTATAATTTATAATTCCATCCATTATACGTACCATTTAAAAAAATCATTTTATGACAATTTTATGATACTTCAGAACATCTTTGGTTACATTCGTGCAAATAATTACGTTAAAATCAATGTTTTCAAAAAAGGCATACAAAAGTGTAGCTAGGGTTCCCTGTGTATGTAGTATATTTATTTACTTGTGTTACACGTTTTAATGCCACAATTCCCTAAAAAGATCGGTGACCCCCGTTTTTTAACTGATAATTTATTTCTTTAATGCATTTTACATTTCATATCTGAAATTAAAAGAAAAATCATTTTTGGATCTTGAAAAAAAATCCTTTATCAATGCATATTCTCAAAGAAAGATATGTAGAGAAATGTGGAAAAGACATTTATGGATCAGAATTGTACACGTTAGTAGTTTCATTTTGCTCAAAACACAATATTTTTTCAAAAATAATTACAAGATAGGTTTACTTAAGCAAAATCCGCGCTAAAAACGTCAATAAATATCGGGCTGTTGTGATTTTGCTGTTACTCGTAATGAGCGTAAAGATGTGGCGCCATATTGGGGTAAAGGTGGTATTTTGTGATTGTCATATCTTCTTAACGAGTTCGGTGACTTTTTTGTGAGATTTTACTTTAAGTATATCATAAACTCCATGCCTGGGAAGTTTCAGCACATTCTCATTTGGGAACAATTACTGCGGAATTACCTTAAAGTAGGCTAATTTGAGCGTTTTCACAAAATGGCCAGGAGAAAGAAACCTGGAAACTAATTACCAGAAGTGACGTACACCCAGGGAGAAGCGAAGTGGCAAGGTCTGAAATGAGCAGTGTTATTAAAGATTATGGATAAAAGATACAAATTTTATAAACATGTCTACTTCCCTGTCTGATAGCGAAACTTCTGTCGTTACCGATAACAGCCAAAACGACTTGGACACTGATTTTATATCGGGATGTGTCTTCGAGGGTCAAAATAACGACAATGTTGCCAGTGCAACAGCTGCTAATGCAGAGGAGACGAACAATGGCTCCACTGCCTTACGAAGGAGAGCCTATAGCAGATGATGTTTGGCTTGCCAACTACAAAGGGCAAAAACGAAAGCAAGACGCAAAGAAATGGAAGGTCGTTTGGAGCAACCTGATTCTGTGCATATATGGTAAGTGACACGAAAAATGTAAAACAAAGAACATTTCTCAAGCGAATACTATATCACTACAGTCTATTTATACAAATTCCTTTTACAATTTTTGTTAAGTGTAAATGTGGTAATTGTAGCACCAAATTGTTGCAAAATAGTAAAGAAGCACAGTGCTGTATGAAGATAGATGGCTGTGTTGAGCCATAAACAGCGATCAAGTCCTCAGCGAAGCAGATAGTCCACCAAGTTGTGTGACATTTCATCCTGGGCTTAACCCTGTTTGTTTAGAAACCTGGTCACTTCGCCAAGCAGGACGAAAGTATCGAAAGACTGACAGGACTAAGTACCATAAGTCAGATTCAGAGAACAGGTAAGATAGAGAATATTCTTGGGCATTTCACGGTAGTGAATACTTGAGTTTTATTTACCAATTGTCCAAAAAAAATTAACATTATGTTGGAGTTATGGTTGGCAATTCATTAAGGTGGATTTCCAGTCCTCACACGAAGCTCCTCACAGCTCGCTGTGATTGCTTGCATTTAATTAGCATTGTGATTGGATGAAAGTGCTCATACATGCACTCGCAGCGAAGCTGCAAGGAGCTTCATGCGAGGACTGGAAATCCGCCTTTATTTGATAAACAAAGCAGTGGTGGATGAAGCAAGGGTTGTGTGTCGTCCCCCCCCCAAAAAAAAATATTACGTCGGACACTTGTGTCACTGATCTTTGTTCATTTGTTAGAATGGCACTCTAGCAAACGCTGTTTTGTATCCTTGAAAACTTAACTGGTGAATTAATCTTTTGCCCCATCTCCCTCAAGAGCTTCCTAGTGACTTTGGTGACCCATTGTGCACACTCCACAATAATTACGTTGTTTCCATACATTTCTTTACATTAATAGTATTCATGAAGTGCCTTTGACTTTCCATTATAGATATCTTTGTGCAGTTTCATACAGGGAATTTACATACCTGGTTTACGGATACCTGGGACATCGGAGATATCCACTACCTGCATGTGCATATCATGCAATTAGAAAAACTTTTTTGGAGCACAAAGATTCTAAATGTGCAGGTTATGATGATGGACAATAGAGACCCACTGAAATTTGACTTTGTCAATCCCTCGAGTGTTCATTGCATATCAAAAGGAATTAAGTTGTTTCAGTTCATGTTAGTTACAAATTGAATGTTACCATGTCTTGTGGATTGTCTATGATCTGGAGTAACATAATTGTTACAAAGGAGGTTTGGGTATTTCCTACAAGCACAGTTAGTTGAGCAAGCCAGTTTTATTGTTTATGCAATTACAAAATTATGATATACTTTTATATTGGAATATAAAGCACAACACACAATATAATTAGTCACAATAATTGTGCATCAGCTGATAAACAGTTCATCAATTGATCAGCTGAACATTGTAAAATTGCCAAGATAATGCACTTTTACTATTCCACACTATTTTGGTTCTTTGTACATCCCACAACAAATTTGTGTCCCTTCATTCATTGGGTGCCCACAGGATTTACACCGAGGCTTTTGTCTTGTTGTCACTGCCACATGCTCTGCAGCCTCACAAACTACAAGAATAAAACACACACAATATACATAGATTAGTCCTGTGTGAAATATGTACCAATTAAGATCTATGCTGGGTATGATCCCATGTTGCATGCTTTCTGTAGTGTCTGTACCATTGTAGTAAAATTAGGCAAAGGTATATACAACTCAATTTTTACTGTAATTATATAAAAAATACAATTTAAAAAAAATGTACCTGTTGCAGTTTGCTGGGACATCTTCAATCACCATTTGTTTTTGCTGATCCCTTTTTGCTATGGCTTTCATCTTTTGGCTGTTTCTTGAGCATGGTGTCCATAGGCGATGGAGTTATTTCTGCCAGAGCTTTGGAGGCACGGTCAACTTCAGTAGACTGTATAAATATCTTGAAAATATCATCTACATAATCTTGAAACACAACATGTCCAACATTAGAAAAAATAATTGTAAATTAACCCATTAACCCTTGAAGTGGCAATGCACTCTGATGCACCCTACTTTATGTTTTTCACCAGATGATTGTACTTGTCTTACCACTCAATGGGTTAACTGGCAGTACAATACTGCTGATGAGGTGGGTATGGCTACCATACTAACACTGGGGAGATACAGTAACGAAATTACAGTCAACATTCTGTACAGTGCACAGTATGCTCACAATTTAAAAATCAAGGAAATTATAACATAAACAACTAACATGCAACACATCCCAGGAAATTTAAACACAACCATTTTGGGGGCAAAATGATTTAGGACGGAGTGAAACCCTTCCAAACTACTTGTTTGTGAGTGTGGAGATGCTTGCATTATTCCACTCTTGATGCTTTTTTTGTCAAGGCTTTACATACTTCATCATAAACAGCAGAATCTAGAAAAATACTTGTGTCAAGTATTATGACATTTCATTGCACTATTTAACTACCAGGACGAGAATGCTTTGCAGGTATAATGTACTTTGCAATTACACTTGAATGTTGGAAAAGCATGATGGTCTTATTAGTAAAATAGTGCAATGAATTGTCATAATGGATAAGGTCAATTCAGAATGATTATGAGCCATTTGAACAATGACCTTTTCTTATAGTACATTAACTCATAACAAAATACTGTATCAGTATCTTTACTACAACAGTAGTAAAACAGCAAACATCTTTAAATAGCTCATTAACTCAATTCGATCCACCAATATTGATTTCCGACATATATGACGGTAGGGGTGCACCGGATTTGGAATTTTCAAATCCGGCCGGAACCGGATTTGGACAAAAATTCCGGCCGGATTTGAGATAAACTGGTAATGGGGACAATTGGGAGATAAATCAGTATTAAAAATGGCGCTTTATGTTTTTTACTATTTTTAGTTAGTGTCAGTTTAGATTTTTGATTGTGTTTAAACCTTTTTTAAATATCTTTTTGTTAATAACCTAATATTTTATGATAATATAAGGGTTTTTTAAACTTCAAAGCTGCCAAATTGATGGTTTATCCCATTCTTGGTGAATTTTTTAAGCTGAAAACAGAAATTTAAATCCGGCCGGATGCCGGAAAATTTGTTAAATCCAGCCGGATTTGAAATCCGGTGCACCCCTATATGACGGGAAGATTAAATATTAAAGAGCTCCGCGAGTATTTGCAGTGGAAATACGAAAATACCACCAAAAAATTCCGATTGATCGATAATATATATTGCAAAATATTCATATAATTTTGTTGTTTCTTGCTCAATTTCAAGCGAATTTCTTACCTTGAAATGATCAATACAGTGAAATTTATGCAAATGACGCATTACCAATTTTGCTGTTGCATTTCGAATGTTCCGCCTGATTCAAATGCCTGTATCTTTGCTTATTTTCAACATATAATAAAGACAAATATACTAAAAGAATCGCCATCTTTCATTCTGCAAAATAATCTATGCCTATTATGGCGATTCTCGTGCTCAGAAAGTGTTTGGCCAACTTCGGACGCCAAATTCTTGGTAAAGCATTACAGTTTCCTGGTAAAAGACTGCAGAAATCACTTCCGGAGTGTTTTTTTTTTTTACCCCAGATACGGATTTTGATTGGCTTAGGCAGAAAAACAAACCTTTTACAGCAATTTTCCTGATTATCGCGCACGGCGCACGAGCGTTGTAATGTATAATTGTGTTGTAATTGTATTGTTTGAATCGCATCCTCAACACGTTCTTGGCTTTATTTTGCAAACTAATAGTGCTAGTAATGATGGAATGTCTTCGTATGAAGACAAGTATCTCAACCTGCCATTGGGAGTTGTGTCTGGAGTTTCGAGGCAAGTATTTTGATCATTTTTAGACATTCCATTTCAATGTTTTGCCGTTGCCATGGCGTTGTAAATTTATTTGCATTTGGTATAGCTGTACTAGTACGACCAAGTATGTCCTCATATTGCATTTTTTTGTGTTGAAATAATCCTTCCATACTGAAATTGACAAATATAAATGGTATTTATTTATACTGTTCACGAAAATTTATGGTGTTTTAGGCATAAAAAACTCTGATTCCTAAGCAAAGTAAAATGAGCCTTGAGCACATGTTTGGTTGTTTGTTACATACATAATAGACGAAGTATTCATACTTGTGTCTTACTAGTTTGGCTCTTATTATAATTTCAAGTGACGCCATGTAAATTATGTCTATAAAAAAAATTTTATTTCCAGTGACAAAGATATTGATTCTGTTCCTAGCTGCTATTCCTGTTTCAATGTTTTGTGGTCTCAGGGAAGTAGCAGTTCTGATGAATCATGAGAACCCCACTCCCCATTCAACCCTCGAAATTCAGCTATTTTTGCCTCGGCAAATAATTGCCGAAGCCTTTCGATAATTTTCGAGTTTGCCTCGGCAATTTTTCTTGCCGAGGCACGCAATGAAATCACCTTAAATTCCTTCGGCAATTACTTCGGCAATTACTTCGGCACCCTTCGGCATTCACGTCGGCAGTTGTAATTAAAGTAAAGTACATACGGAAATTATTGTAAACAAATATTGTAACGAGCGTAGATTCTGAGACTTCTGACGTTCGACAATTTGTTGTTATTTTACAAATTCCTGATTCAAAATGTTTTTAAAAAGTTAGTGGTAATTTACAACCAATTGTATGAAAGAATAAACTTGACGGTAAAATCACGCGACAATCTAAAAGATAAAACAAAGTTTCTCGACGTACCGTCTTTAAACCATCAAGATTGTTCTTTATTTCAACCGAAGCCGACGCTGCATGAAAAGCTCAAATTTAAATATTTTGTATAGTAGCTATGAATGAAATCTTCTGTTGTCCACCCAACGTCGATGACAACAATTCGAACAAAGAAGTGATACAAAAAACGAACACTGTAGTTTGTATATTTAAGAAAAAAACGAACAGAAACTGTAGTTTGTAAGGTAAGGAACAGCGGGTGGAATTGCCTCGGCATTTTTTTGCCGAGGCAAACTATGAAAAATCGTAACTTGCCTCGGCATTTGCGTCGGCAATTGCCGAGTGCCGAGGCGAATTTCGAGGGTTGCCATTAGGAAAACGTGTAAGTGTGGAGGGAAGGTAGGGGGATGGGTAGGATGTAGAGGGAAGCCCAGCCACTAAGACCCATGGTTTTGAAAGCTCGCTGTCTAGCACCCCCACTAGGCCCCATAGTACATGACGGATATGCTAGGAATATTCTCCCAGATTTTTTTGACGCTAGGAATATTCTCCCAGATTTTAACCCTCACCGACATGTCCGAGATCCATTTCGATGAAGCTTTCACCAGAAGTATGAACTGTGAGCTTGAGTTCATTCGGCTCTTTTTTACTAAGGGAATGCTTCAGGAGTTAGTTTCCCGGCCATACCAATATTACATATGCCCACATACAAACAACCCAAAAATCATCCCCATATACTACTAATAAAGAAGGGTCTTGGAGTCCACCAACCTTGACGAGATTGAGAGGTTGATTGCCTTTTTAGTATATGCATGTTTGGTAAAGTTTGACAGTGAGATTGAAAACTATTGGAGTGTAAAAACCTTATATCATGGTCTGCGGGCAATAGAAATAATTTCTCAGTTTAAGGTACAAAGCGCTTATGGCGTTTTTGAATATGGCAGATCCTGTCACTCAAGACTACAGCAATAAACTGAATCAACAACTGTACCAGCCATCACAGAATATTGGTGTTGATGAACACACTGTCAAATCAAGGAATAGGAATTATATTGCGACTTTGAGATTTATACAGAAAGAAGTCCACAGATTCTTAGCAGCATGGATTTAGGTATGACGTGGGGATGTGATATAAGTTTGGCTAATATATATTTTGTGGAAAAAAAGGAAGGAAATATTTTCACCTCCAATTATGTGCCTTGGCAAACATTACTGCCTTGGAAAACATTACTTTTTTATAACTACTAATGATGACACCAGCCCAGCAACACTTGGTCATGCTATTATATGCAAATATTTTCATGTTCTAGATTGTGAAAACAATCAATTTCTCAAGAAATGAGTAATGATTATTTAAAATTTCAATAGCATGACCAAATTTTCAGGCTGGTTATGCCACTGATAACTAAGTCAATGGTGTACTGATTATCTAAGAATGTATATAGTAACCGTAGAAATAAAGACATTTTGCAAATAGTGATTTGTGTGTTCTTTTGTGGGTATCACAGACTTATTTTAGTGCCATACCATCCTTGGAGAGTAAGAAATGTTGGAAATTCGTATTGATATGTTGCAGCAATGAAAAAGGACCTTTGATAAGGTTATTTGTTTCATGTGAGCACAAAATGTAAATTTTACTCCACTACATAGTTTATTCAAAAATTCAATAAAAATACTTCCATTTATGCTACATGCATGAAACTTCGGGTACATGTAGATGACAACCGGGTCTTTCAGTTACATTCATTAATTTTTTGACATATTTGAAATTTGAACCGGTAAATACATTTATGCATAATTGCAATATTTTTTATATCATAATTTATATCGTAAAGTAAATCGTTAACCAAGCTCAGGATGAAATTGGTATTGTTTGAAAGCGGAAAACCTCCTTTTTCGAACGATGCAATTTCTGTTTCCGTACGATGTATAGTTTGGTTAAAACAACACCACTCAAAATTGCTACTTGATGAGAATGAGTTAAATAGCCCAGGGAATTGTCCATCACCATTTAGTGTTGTGGTCGCACTCCAATACAATTGATTTGCACAAGCATTAATCCATTCTAAGAGACAATCATTCCCTTTCTTGTTTGCAATTTTCTGCAAGACCTTTTGGACTTCTAAATAGACAAATGCAAATATTATAGTGTCCCATAATAATAACCACTCTTAGAAGTTCTTGGTATATATGAAAATTAAAACATGCCATCTGTTCATTCCATCTTACTTTTTGTAAGATGCCACAGATCAAAGTAGTGAACGACATTAGGGAGTTGCTTTCTCATGTGTTTCTTTATCGATGTATGTCTCAGGGGCGGATCCAGCCAAGAATCTGATCATGGCTCCAACGCTGGCTCGTTAGGGGGGTTCGTTTTTGGAATTTGAAGCCTGGAAACACCATTTCCTGCATTCTGAGCACAGTATTTACTCCTCAAATTTGAGCCAAAAAGTCCCAATTTTTCATGAAAAAATAACGAAAAAGAAACAAAAACACTTTAATAATTGTGATACCACTTTCTCCACTCCACTAGTACAACATCAGAATATTATCATTTCACTTACTTCCGGTCGCCATTCACCCTCTTTGTCAATAATCACCTATGACGCATGCCTCTTCGATACATTTCGGTGGGTTCATATGCATTTTACTGTGGATAAGTTACTGACAGCATGTTTAGCCCTCCTCCTTTTTCATCCGGGCTTGGGACCGGCAATGGCGGAGTTAAAAGTAAACACTTCCATGATCCAAAAGTAATAATAAGGGGAAATCCACTCTCAAAACAGCAGCTCAAGTGAAGTTGAAACGGGTTCATCTTGGCACAGCAGCAGCATCAAATCATTCACTTATAAATCATCTTGAAATAGCAGCAAGAATCAAGTTAGTAGAAAATGTTCACTGTAAATAACCTTGAAACAGCGGCACAAAGGAAGAAAAATTTTCACTGTAAATAATCTTGAAACAGCGGCACGAGGGAAGGAAAATGTTCACTGTAAATAATCTTCAAGCAGCGGCACGAAGGAAGAAAAATGTTCACTGTAAATAATCTTGAAACAGCAGCAAAAAATGAAGGAAAATGTTCACTGTAAATAATCTTGAAACAGCAGCATGAAGGAAGGAAAATGTTCACTGTAAATAATCTTGAAACAGCAGCACGAAGGAAGAAAAATGTTCACTGTAAATAATCTTGAAACAGCAGCAAAAAATGAAGGAAAATGTTCACTGTAAATAATCTTGAAACAGCAGCATGAAGGAAGAAAAATGTTCACTGTAAATAATCTTGAAACAGCAGCAAAAAATGAGGGAAAATGTTCACTGTAAATAATCTTGAAACAGCAGCACGAAGGAAGGAAAATGTTCACTGTAAATAATCTTGAAACAGCAGCACAAAGGGAAGGAAAATGTTCACTGTAAATACTCTTGAAACAGCGGCGGCACGAAGGAAGGAAAATGTTCACTGTAAATAATCTTGAAACAGCAGCACGAAGGAAGAAAAATGTTCACTGTAAATAATCTTGAAACAGCAGCAAAAAGGAAGTTAAGTAAATGTTCACTGTAAATGATCTTGAAACAGCAGCACGAAGGAAGTTAAGTAAATGTTCACTGTAAATCTTCTTGAAACAGCAGCAAAAAGGAAGTTAATAAATGTTCACTGTAAATCATCTTGAAACAGCAGCACGAAGGAAGGAAAATGTTCACTGTAAATAAAACAGCAGCAAACCGGAAATGAAATGTTCAAGGAGAAATTAGTAGGAAATGTTCACGGCAAGTCATCTTTACTTTCTTCGAGAGTTGCATCGTCACTATTTAGGAGATCCACCAACAACATTCGTCTGGGATGTCAAAACGGTCAATTACTTTCTCCACATCAAGTTTGATTTTGCGATGAACATTTAACAGCGCCAGTGCTTTTAATCTCTTTTCTCCCATTGTACTTCTCATAAATGTTTTTAATCGCCGAAGCGTTGAAATGGATCTTTCACAGCTGCATGACGTTACGGGAATGGTTCCAAATATTCTCATCGCTGTTAGGATGTTGGGAAAGGAAAATCGGTCAGCATAAGGAAATAGTTCCTCAAGGGAAGTTGGAAGAGGATCTGTAAGATTACAAAACTTAAGTCTCCACATCCGTAATTCGCATTCTAAAAAGTCCAAGTCCGGTAGATCATCTTTATATTTATTGAGGAAACGAGAGAAATTTTCTTTCCAGTCAGGATCGGATACAACCTTATTTGGCATTCCATACATGACATCTAAAGCATCAAGATTTCCTTCTGAGAAACGAGACTGCATTTGTCCAAGAAGTTGATCCAAAAATGGTATTGTAACTGCTCTTTTGTAATAATCTGAAGTGGAATCAGCAGGAACATTTTCACGATGTACTTGGGAACCAGTCGTTCTCTTTTTCGTAGGTTCTATTTTCACTTCTTTTGCCAAATCGATAGCCATTTGATAGAACAACGCCTCATGAGTTTCATCAATATCTGAACGAAGTTTGTTAATCGTGAAGTAAAGAGTGGAAACTTTTTCGCGAGCTTTCCCGGCATCAAGTGAAGCGCACTGAAGTTGGAGGGTTAACGGTTTTGTGCATTTAACTCATTAACTGGCAAGCTGTTACAATGTTACCACCCCTTAAAGTGGCAAGCAATATGGCGAATTCATGATTGAAATCCAAGCTTTCACCAAAATGCCAATATCTCAGAAACAATTGCATAAAAAAGTCTGATCTTTTCAACCAAACATGAATGATATATGATTGACCAAATTTAGTTTAGATGACCTTGCATACCTATATATATCATTAGTTTTTTCAGTCAGTATTTTTATTTATAAAGCAGTGATACTTTGTTTTCCATGTCACTCATCACCTAAAGGGGCAATATCTCCATAAATTTATATAAAAACCAAAAAAAAATCATTTACTAAATTAATACATATCTATATTACAACCAATTTTCATCTTTTGGGATATGAATTATGAAATTATCAAAAAATTTAAAAATTACTTCTTTGCTTTTTTGGGGCATCTTGTTTACAACATGAAATTTATAACAGTAACTAAGTGTTCAAGTTCAACAAAGTGTGCAAGCCAAAACACAGTGTTTGTACATCTTTAAAGTTTTTTGATTGCTTCAAATATATTTAAAAGGACACATAGTGCTTAAATTTATTTATTTTAATATAAACCAAGGATGGGAAGGTGAGAAAATGGGAATTTTCTGAGGTGTTTTTAATAGAGACAATGACAGCCGACATTTTGAAAGGCACTCTGCGGTGACAAAACTAAAAGCTATTCACTTCTGTACTCAAAGCACTGAAAAGCATCATAAAGAGAAAAACACTTTAAATTAAACACATGCCAGGTAAGACTTTTAGCTCAATATTTTCATGCTTCTATTGGGAAAACAACGGTTTAAAAGCCAAAATTATTTTGCGCGCCAATGTAGGCTGCTATAAAATGTCAGACAGGCGGTTTCTTTTGAAGTCTGGCTCTGAAAAACAATCTCCTTTTTTGAGTTTGAAATAAGCCTTCATAAGGACTATTGTGTAGAAATGTTATCTATACCCTCACATGAAAAAGGTAACCTAATTTTCAGGTATTCCACATAGCTATAAAAGGGTGAAATAAGAAATTTCATCTTTGGTTGTTTGTCAGACGTGAGAAACCACATTAGTGCCATTTTGTCGCGCGTGCTATTTTATAAAATAAACACCTCAAAACCATAAACCTTTAGTTCAGAAAATTACAAAGTTTCCCATAGACATTATTAAAAATGTTCTAGTGAAGCGATTTCATGATAAATAAGTGAGCAATGGGCCCAAAAGAACTGCTAAGGTTAGCTTTTGTTAGGACTTCAATTTCATGGCTTCCCACAAAGGAAGCCATTTCAGAGGGAAGCAACATTTTGCAAACCACCGTCGCGACCTATTTTGATAACTTTTCCTTCTGATTCAACGTGTAGTTACTAGAAAATGATGTTGCATCAACATTATTATCTGCTCTATCGATTTAAAGTTTTATAGGGGACATAAAAAACAGTAAAAATGCATTTTGAAAGCTTTACAACTCAAGTGCGGACTTTTTGAATATTCGCACGCGGCAAGCAAGCGCGTTTATTCAATACACTTATTTTAAACCACAATACGTCTGAAACGAGTTGTCATTTTAACACTAAATTGATGAAAATAGATATAACAGTGATTTTGGAATATCCTACTTATTTAGTGTAATTTAATACTCGAAGTATTCTTGCCAAAAAGGTCAAAAAGATCACATACGCACACAGTAAGTGTCGTTTGAAATATACTTTAGCTAAAATAACAACTTGAACAAGAATACCAACAATGGGGTCACGAAAACAGTCAAAATTGCACCCAAATTTGCATAAACAGTTCGTCTAAAAAGATAACTTTAAACTAGATTCAACCAACATTAATGCGGTCGAATTTTGTGAGTGTTTGATCGCATATTTCTACTCAAAAATACCCTTTAAAAAGTCGTATCTGCTCACTTGAGTTCCGTGTTCATCTTTCTTGTGATTTCCGACTTCTATTTTTAATAAAGTTTGGAGAAATCCTCATCTTTTTGGCTGAAAATCCCGCGCAAGGTTCACAGAAGAACTTGGCCCAAAACGTCAATACATTCGCTTTCCTTTCATGCCAAATTTTCGTTGTAAATCATTCAAAAACGTCTTCTTTTTTCTCTTTTAAAACTTGCTGTGAAATCCTTCTTTGCAACAATAACGCCATTATTCATTCTTTTTGAAAAACTAAGGTTTTAAACTTGAAAAACTTTGCGAGTTTTTGGCCGATTTTCTTGCATGATACACCGTTGAAAAGCTCGAATTTCGCGTTCTATTTTCGTATCCGTTGCTAGGCAACCCGATAAACACGTGCTCAAATATCATGCCCGCAAGTTGAGGTGTCATTTGAGGGCGTATGCGGGCGCATTGCCAGTTACCCACTTGCCAATCTCAGGGCGCATCCGGGCGCATTGCCAGTTAATGAGTTAAGGCAACGCTCTACAAGAATAAGGCACACGATGAACTCAAACTTCTTTATGGCTTTCTTCATACCACCAGCCCTATAGCGTACATCTGGTTCGTTGGTTGTATCACTTTCAATTGCCCCAAGTGCTGATAAAAGAGCCACGTAACTAGGGCGCTTATATAATGGGCGGTGAAACGGATATAGGCGCGCTGATCGATGTGTGATGCGGCAGACTGGTAACAAGTCAAGTTAGTAAAATAAATAAACATGGCGACTGCAAATTCAGAATCATTGTCAAACTCAAATACGGAGTTTTTCTTAGACGAAGAAGCTGAAAGCGAGCTTACACTTTCCGTCCCACATTCTAATCGTGTTGAATATTGCAATATCTCTGCCAATATTACAGCAAGGAGTTTGACATCGTTTCTCCAAACGCTTTTGCAAGTGTACAAGCCGCCTGCAAATGAGAACTGTATTTTAACTTTGGCAGTGGAAGCAGCATTCAATGAGAGTAAGTCTGCCCTCGTAGAAGAGTTTCTACAGAACATATTGTGTTTGTTTGAAGTTTGTTTTAGCCAGGCAGGAGCAGAAAAACACTCTCAGAAATATGCAATAAGCTTAGAAAAGGCATTTGCTGAAAAACGACGTTCTAGTTTTCACCATTGTGCAATTAAATGGTCATGGGAGAGATTATTTACTAATACAGCAAGTCAAGTAGTGAATATAATCAAGCTTCAGAACAGTTGCTGCAGCAAATTCTTCAGTACTTTTGGTCTTCAAGTAGTAATAGTTGTATTACTGTTGAAAGTCCTGAAGAGGAAGGTGAGGAAAGTACTGAAGATCCTGCTGCTTGTGATGAGAGTGATTTCGACAACATCAAAGATCATGCTGGTTGGGTAGTTAAACGAGCTAGGGAGACATTAATGAAGGGAGATAATAAAATACCGGCAAAGGAAAGTGTCACAGAGTCGACCCTTGTCTATGGAGATAAAGCTGGGGCATTGGAAATAATTTCTGCCTTGGGGAAAGATGTTAAGCAAGCAGATGGAAAATTTAGATTTATTGTTAATGAACATGTTGTTCCTTTTTTTCTGTTTCTTCATAATTTGGTTGAAAAACTCATTAATCCTAATAATGTTGTGCTTCAAAAGGGAAATATCCTGATTGATTGCCTTGATAAAATGGCCAGACATAAGGAGCTAAGAGAAAAATGGGATCACTTAACATCAAAGTCAGATGAAACATCCGTCATTGTTCTCCAAAGAATTGCGACGTTCTTTGTTAAATCGAAACAGCAAATACTTAGAGAAAAAAGGGGCCTAAAACCAAATAAAAGTAGCATGGCAGTTCGGCAACAACTTAGGCAGTCAAATAATAAAGCAACTTCATCTCGCTCCTCCAAGGAAAAGAATACAGTAAATGAGGAAGTTAATAAATTAAGATCTGGGGATTTAACATCTGTTAGCATTAATCAATTTTTAAACAGTTTAACTGTTCAATCTCAGTTAAAACAGGAGGATTTACTTGGGAAACTTAATGGGAAAGAACTTGCAACGATATTAAAATCAGTGGGAAAGCCATCCTTTTTGGGAAAGAAAAAAAGCAAGCAAGTTACAACACTGCTTGAAGTTTTAAAAGCTGGAAACATAACTGTGAAAGATATTGACGCAACTTAACTCTATTAGGGGCGGACCATTGGGTCAATCCAGAAAACATCCATACCCCCCCCACGGAGGAAATAGGAAGTTAACCCCCCTACCCCCTTCGGATGTCCTAATACACTTACTATTATCAGAAACAATTTTTTCTGCCCCCTCCGGACAGCAGAAATTTCCTCTGAGGGGGGAGTATGAATCTTTTCAGGAATGACCCATTAGAAAAGTGTGGGG